CTCTTCTAACCGGTTCGGTAGATTTGACGAACCGGTTCTACCGAATAGGTGCGAACTGGTAGGAACCCACCTCTGCATTTATCCCTCCTTTCCCAGTATACGGCTCCCAGAAGCTATCAAGATGAGCAAGTGGTTCTTTGAAAACAATTCCCCATCTGGAAGCATTCATACTGGCTGTTGCATTCCCAAGAAAAGTCATTTCCTAATTTTTCCCCCCCTAGAAACTGTTTTGAATCCAGAAGATGAATGGGGAAAACAATAACTAATTATGGTGCAATCGTATGCATACTTACTCTGAAACAAATTTGATTTTTTTTCTCCTCAGAAAGCATATCACTCCACTGAGGTAACTGGATATTTAAAGGAAACAATCTGTATACTGTATGATCAAAAACAGAAATGTGTTTTCCTCATAAAATCTGACGCTCGCTTGGATATTAGGAAAACATATTGCCATTTGGGGCTCCATTCTCTCCAATGAATGCTAGACAAGAGCACAGAAATCATCTACAACAGCAGTTTTTTTTTCAATTGTAATAGAGAGTAAAAACCACAAAACTAGTTAAATTTTAAAAACTGGATACTTTGACCTGTAATAAGTTATAGACTTGGGCAATAACTCACAATCCAAGCAAGTAATTTTGTCCACACTCAGCAAAGTAATTAATAATAGTAAGAACCAAATAGAAAAAGTGAGCTGTATAAACATTTTTGTCTTATCTGAAAGTGCTCCTCCCCTCCCTGGAGGGGAGTTCAGAAACATACCAATGATGACAGGAATGTATTCCCTTTTCTACTGGATAGTGGAGTGATGCAGAAAGCAATTGCCTTGGCAATAAAGTTCCTTTTTCTCTCTCACAATATTTTAGATTTGGTGAATTCATCTGCATTCCGTGATGTAATAATACTGTTACATCCGAAGTCTACACGGGTTGAAATAATATATTTGCTGTGGCTCCCTATTGGTTGCGCACCAAACGGGGGAACCAAAATAAATGGCTTCGAAGAGGCGGTCTCTCTGCTATTTTCTAAGAGCAAAACTTTAGCAGGTGATGTCACAAAATGCATGGACATTACATGTCCTGATCACAGGTGGGTTCCGGAAGTCACTACTGCCGGTTTGCTCCTGGGCGCGGTGCACACGCTTGATGCGTGCTGCACACACATGCACAGTGCAATAAAAATTGCTCTGCACATGCGCAGAAGCAAGAAAACAAGATGGCAGCAAACCGGTTCAGTGGCGCGGCAGGCCTGGGTCACTGCTGATTCCAGTGTCCCAAGCCGCCAAAACACTCCCGTTCGGTTGAACTGAACCAGTAGGAACCCACCACTGGTCCTGATAGTTCCAATCAAGCTTTCTTTTCTGGAAAGAACACCACAGAGCAATGCTTACTCAGAAGTGCCTGACAGATATAGAAAGGCAAAGAAGGGGAGAAACACCCCTGAATAACACATTCCTCAAAGAAGCTGCTTTTGACAATTACAAACAAGCAGTTTTCGTCTGCTTGTGTGAGCCATAGATAGATTGCTAGTGGTGGCATGAAAGCACTGGGGATGTCTTTAGCAACAAAGAATATCATTTCCAAGGTTCTGCATGGTAGACCTCGGAGAGGAAGAGAGTCTCTCAAGTAATTTTGTTGCATAAAAAACAGAAGCCCTACTCCTTGGGTATCCATAGAAGCAAAACAACGGTTTGAACTGTACGGTACCCAAGTCAATATTTTTTTTTATTCGACTAAGAATTACTTTAGTAGGTTGTTATCTGTAAATATGTTCTTGTTATCCGCTCAACACTCCTGATTTGTTTGCGGGGAGGGGAAAAAAAATACTGTGTCAGTATCTCACATAGCCAAAACGGACTTTTTACAGAAGAAAAACAGTTCATTTTACATTTACCTTCAGCACGGTGATATTCCACGCAAAACTCTCAATTGCTTTGCTGAGTTTCCTTCCTTTCAAGCCTTCCTTTGTTCCTAAATTGTGTAGTTCTTCATGGAGCTCCATTCCTAACAAAATACGGGGCACAGAGTAAGTACTGGCAGTTATTGGAGGAAAGTAAATTTTTGAAAAGTTGCAACTGTTTATTATGATCCAGAAGTTTTACAGGCATAGATGATCAATGTGGTGCTGGCAAAACCTGCATGCCTTCAAACATCACTCTTGATGATCAACAGTTTCCCTGCCTTAAAGCATGTTTTAATAAAACGATAATTGATTTATAACCACCATGCTCCAAAATATCAAAAAACTAGCACCATTTATTTGCAGCAATTCTTTAAGTTCCACAACCTTGTAAGTAAGTAAGTAAAGATTGAATGGAAAGTAATGACTCCAGCTCCATAACCTTAGTTTAAATGGAAATACTTGTATAAATGAAACAAGAAAATAATCCTTGGAACGAGCTTTCTTGTTACCAATATTTACAATCATCTCCATTCTCTACTAAGACTTGATTCTGCCAACAATGGACAATGTTCTTGAAACTATAACAAAACAACTTTCTTCAACTAGGTCTTAATGGTCTTTTCCACCTCTTCATTTGAGCTGATGTTTGCAAAGGTATTCCTTCAATTTTGGGAAACGTAGACGTTGCATCATGTCAAGTCTGAGCTATTTGGTGGATGGGATAACACAATGAGATCCTCTCGGCAACTGAAATGGCCTTTTGGGTGATTGGTTAAAGTATGAGACCTAGAATTATCATATTTGAAAAGCTTTTCCTCCTTATACTTCCAAATTTGAGTTCTTTTCAATTGTACCAAATTTTGTGTGTTGCAGTACAGCACTGAGTTGGTAAGTGGTGTCAGGTTCAAGAAAATCCATGTGAATTATACATCTGCATCCCCAAAGGACTATGACCATGAATTTTCCTAGGTTTTAATTTCCCCACCTCCACCTCCAGGTAAAGCTTTGTGATAATAATTCCACGGGCTGAAGTTTCATTTCTGGGTCAGAATAATGAGCCTGTGTTTTATGGCTGTCACAATACTTTTAAGCAATTCTTCACCTTCCTTATCACAGCATGACAGTAATTGCTGGCAAATTTCAATTTTTGAAACTTTTATCTCTACTGTTGGCATTGCCAAGAACACATTTTGTTAGTAACTTTCTAACTGAAACATGTCCGTTTTGTGACTCATACTTTTCTGTGAAATGTCAAGCTGGACAGTAATTTCCCTTTGAGTGATATGTTGAATATCCTTAATCAGGCTTAGTTATATGAAATGTAATGGTTAATATCACAGGTTGTTTCCTTTTTTCCCCCCTTAATCACATGAAACTGTTCTTCTTTTGGTTTACCTTCTTGCATTCTTTGGGCCAGCAATACACAGTACAGTCAATAGAGTCATCATTATAAACAGCATGCATTCAGTGACAAATTTCATTTGGAGGAACTTTTTCAGCAGCCAAAAATTCAGTTAGGGGCCACTACTTAAAGAGTACTGAAGGTTAATTTCATGAATAGTGACTTTTTTTTAACAACTGAAGCAAAGAAGCAGATTCTAAAGAACATGTGAGAGTTTTTGCCTGGTATGTCAGTTGCGCCCCTTTATGAATCAGGATGCTCTGTGCACAGTCACTCATGCCCTCGTCCTTTCTCGCCTGGACTACTGTAACGCT